GGTGGAGAGATGAACAAAATAAAAAGGCAAAACTGGTCTAGTGGCGTTTTTCTTCCAGGGCTTCTCCCAAAGCTATGCATTCGCATGATGGTGAGGACAGAGAGAACTCACAGGGACAGCTGGGCCACCTATTCATATTCATTAAAATATGCTCCTTCCTCCTTTCATTGATGCAACAGCATCATCTGTTTGGGGTGGGTGGATAGTCTAAAGTTATCTTTATCTAGTTCTCAGTTGAACCGTCTTGCTTTTGTTTTGATACATGAAGTTTCAACTTGCACCCAGTACCTCTTAGGGCTGAGATTTAAAAAAAAAAAAAAAGGAAGGTGCTAGCATAAGCAGATAATGACTCTGTTCTATACTAGGTTCAAAACTGAGCAGGAAGTGTGAAGACAGAGGTCATGAGCTATGATAGTAATGGTAATTAGTGCAGTAGTCATACTCTTCCTCAAAGAGATGAAGTTTTATCTTACAGGCATTTTGTTACCTTCTCAATATCTTTATAGTATGGTTAGTAAGAGTACAGAAAACTCTCTTTTGATATGGATGATTCATATAATCATCTATGTACAAGATCCTAAGTAACGTTCCTCCCAACAATGAATAAGTGGATTTGGCAAAGTCGAGGATGCCAGGTTAATATACAGAAACTGTATTTGTTGAAATGAGTATGAAGAAGTTATAGTTTTAATTTAATATTGATTACAGGAATTTCTTACAAATAAGAACTTGGGGGCCCAGGGTTTAGCTCAGTGGTGCTGTCACCTGCCTCGCAAGCACAAAGACCCAAATTCAATCCTCAGTACAAAAAAAAAAAAAAAAAGAAGAACTTTGGTATTAAGGGATGAAACATAAGATAATTTCCTCCTGCATCATAAAGGAAAAAGCTGTCTTTCATACACACAAACATGCAGTGTAGTTTATTTCCTTTCCTGTATAATCTGAGAATTGTGCTTTTTTAAAGCAGCTTGCTAATCTCTTTAAGTAGCTGTTAATATAAGCATTCCATAGTTTTCATTAACCATGAATTCCAGCCCTTCTTTTTTAAAGCTCAGTTCCACAACTATATTTGAGAGTTGTCTCATCAGCACCCTTTTAGCCTGGCTGGTGAAGCAGCCAACGTACCGTAAACCCTATGTGGGGTGGTATGGATGAGAGTCTGAGACTTTAATTATATGTCATTTGATTCACAACACTCAATTCCAGGAAGGAAGAAATGACTCTGTTGTTATAAAAGACATATTATGTGAGTATCACTCATTGTAAACCCAAAATGATACTGTATTATAGCGAAGACGACAATGAGAACTGATTCTGAAAATGTGACCTGTCTGAGAAACTGAATAATAGTGAAAGTTATCAAAATGGAAAGAAGTGTTAATGTGAAATCCAGCCTTCTCAGAAATACTCTTTCCTGGCCTGTTTGGTTTTGCTTTTGTTGCTTGTCATGCATGAATGAAAGTGCTATACTCTCAGGGGAGCAGGAAAGCCTCTGTGTCAGTTGTTTATTTCCTTAATCCCTCCTCCTTTGTGATTTTTGATGTCAGATCTAAAATGGAAAGCCTGTAAATATAATGATTATCACATGGATAATCACCTGCATTAGGAACCGCCCTGCTTCTCTATTCTAACCCTAGCTGTTCTCCACATGTCACATCCACTCTGCGGTGGGATTTTAACCTGACTGCTTCATTAGATTTGTGAAACTCGGTACGAGGCGCCCTGGGGCAGCACAGATGGGGACTTGCTTGTTTTCTTTTCTCACTTTTCCTGCGATGGCACACTACAAAGTCCTTTTCAATTTATCGTGATCAGTCCGCTTGGAATTAACCCTGGTATTTAGAACCTGCCTTCCTCTTCTGCGCACCCTCTCTGCCCATTCTTTCTTCCCTGTTCCCTGACATAATGCCTTTTCTTCCTGTCGCTTCATTGCAGTGAATCTGAGAACTAAAATTGTGCTTAAAATTCTTACTGGGTCAAACTGTTCCCCTGTTATTTTGTTTGTTTTGCTGAGGGAGAAAAATAAATGTTGTTCCATCATTGTAGCTACAAACACCTTCAGATCAGAGGTTAGCTGTGAGAACGTCTGCAGTCATGTGAGCCAGCTGCCTCCTCTAATGGAGTGACTTGGGGCACCAGCCCAAGATCAAAGGGAGGTGGGAGGAAGTCAGAAGATAAGATCATTTTAAGCCACAGAACAAGTGCTTAGCTTTTTACTGATAGGGCACAGCTCAGCAAACCTGTGTGAGGGGGCACTAAGATAGAAAATAGACTTGACTTTTCTTAACTGTGTCCTTCCTCAGCCAGAAATATGTCAGTGCTTGGAATTATTTACACATGTGAAAATGTTCTGGGGCCTGGTTTCCTTACAAAATGATTATCTGACATTTAATGTAGCTTGCATTTAGTTCTACTATACCCTGCCAGATTATAGTTAATATTTTAGGACTATATGAACAAAATTAGATACTAAAAAACAATTTAATCTCAATATGTGGGTTTTTGGTCTTTATCTCTTACTGTGATTTTTGTCCTACAGATTCATCTTAACTGTCTATAGTCCTCGCAGTTTCTTTCCTGGCTCTAATGAAGCTCCGTATAAATAAGTAGTTCTAGCAGGCCTTTGCAGTTGTCTTTTTATATAGGAATTAGTTTGGTTAATTATGACAACTTGGAAGACACTACACTGATACCTTTTGAACCTTTCCCTTGATATCCTAGCCAGCAAATGTTATTGACTATGTGATGTACAAAGTTCTGTTTTAAGTAAATTGTCAAGAAGCTAACCTTGCTTGTTAAGATCATAACTCGGCTTTTTTTTTTTTCCTGGTCTCTAGCTGAGGCTAACTTGGTCAGCCTTATGTTTCTTTAGTGCATAGCCTGAGGAATTGTCCTTTCAGCTTATCACTTTCTGTTAACTTCAGTGTTGAGCAGTAGTCAGGCATTTTGACCTTTCCAAACCTTCAAAATGATTCTCTAAGTCTGGAGGTTAGACCATAAGTGCACACACATGTATTTCTTCATCAGTGTTTTCCACAATGTGTAGGTAGTCCCCAAATTTGTGTTGGAGACACTGACTGTACTTTCTGCCTTACATGGTTTGGTGCAGCCGTCGTTTTAGTTGAGTTGGATCTGCTCACTACTTGGGCTCAAATCCCATCCTTCTATTAATATCTCTTGGCAAAGATAATTTGGGAGGAATGTAAGTTAAGATGTAGAGGCTCTTGACAGTTGTCTGCAATTTTTTTCACTTTCAAGAGAGAAGAAGAGTTGAAAAGTACTATTGCTTCCATTTTCTATCAGTCCTAAAATTAAAATATATGTACAAGCCTGATAATAAGAGGAAAGAAATTTGATTACACCGATTTTTTTTTTTCTGGTCGTTTGATAACCTGTTAGGAATGCGTTGGGTATATAATAGTGTTCATCAGATTGTGTGCTTAAGATATTTAAAATCTAGAAGAACTTATATATTACAGTTGCTTAGCCATTTCTAAAAAGTTCAACTTTTGTTATGCTGTCACTTTATAAAAAGGAAAATTGGGGGTTTAGGGACTTCATTGTGAAATTTTTCAAACACACAAAACAGTAGAGATACTGAACCCACGTGTGCCATGTACATATTTAGATCCCATAGTTAATATTTAGCCAGTTTTGCCTCACTTCATTTTTTAACAGAGTTTTCCATAGTAACTTATGTAGTTCATGGCATTTTATCCCTAAATATGTTAGGGTACATCTCTGGAAATTAAAGGCATTTTCCTTATCAAATTGGTAATTCCTAATATCATTTAATTTCCATTTTTATTATTTTCCCTCAAAAATGTTTTTTATAGCTGGTTTGTTTAAAACAGGACCCAGTTAAGGTTCATATGTGGCTCTTGGTCATTGACATTCTCTCATTATATCATTGATGTTGACTTGTTAATGGAACTGAGCTAGTTACCCTATATATGGCTGCACCTTAGAGATTTGACCATTGCGTTCTCTGTGTATTCTTTTTCCCCCATCTTCTGTGTTTCTTGGTGATTGCAGGTTATTGGACTAAAGTGTCTTTTTTTCTCCTTTCTCAGTTACTGGGGGGTTGAACCAAAGACCTTGCACATGCTAACCATGTGCTATACTCCTATCCCCTGCTTTTTGTTTTTATTTTGAGACAGGGTCTGAAAAGGTTGCCTAGGCTGGACTTGAACTTGCAGTCCTCTTAGACTCCCAGTTAGCTGGGATTGTAAGTAGGTACTACTACACCTGCTTTGGACTAAAGTTTTGATTAATTCATGTTAAATTTTTTCTGTCAGAATACTGTGTAAGTGATACTGTGAACGTCATACTGCATCATAAAAGAAGGCAGAGACTCCTTGGTGATCCTGCTGTTATCGATGATAAGTGATGGGACCCATCCCAGGGCTACAGTGATGACAACTCGATCTTTCCATTGTGCAGTGATACTTTGCTTCTTGTGACTAGCATATAATGTGTGCAAAGACCCAGTTCCCTCCCCATCATCCTCTCACCCAGTGAATTTAACATCCATTAATGATCCTTGTCTATATAAATTTGGTCATCAGAAATGTAAAACGGTGATTATTTTTGTAAATCTATACATTCATTAGCAAATACACTTCTCTATAGACAAGCTTTCTGAAAAGTATTGTTTTAATTAAAAATATAACCACAAGCAAGTTCCTTAGGTATCAAATAATTGTCTTTCTTTGGCGAGGTCAGAACACCTGAACTTACTGTGGCAGTTACAGTAAAAACATGCACTACGTCTTCTTTATTCCAACTTGTGAAGTGTGTTGACATTATGCTGCCTTTTTTTTTAATGCCAAGAGGGAAAAAAAAGAAATCTTTTTGGTATAAGAATAAAACTGAACTCTGTGGGTATATTGAGATAATTGTGTAAAAAGAAGACTGTTTGAATGAGTTTCAAAATGGATTATTTCTTCATTACCTAGCACTTTGTAATTAACTGTTCTTTTTTATTTTTTTTTTTTCAGGAAGCTGCCACTTTTGCTAGAGAGCAAGGCTTTGAGGTGAGTTAACCCACAATTGCACACTAAACAGATTCTAAAGGTTTTTTCTAGCTGATAATGAAGTTCTTTTGGACAGTGATTGATGTGCTATTATACTCTCAGAGCCTCGCAGCAGTTGCCATGGAAACTTGGCAGTCGTCATGGTTTCTTTGTTCTGCCAGCACAGTGTTATGACGCACTCTGCTAGGTCTGCACCCAACATCGCCTACAGATGTTATTTATTGAATTTTGAAAAGCCTCTTGGGAAGCCAAGAGGTTGGGCACGGTTTCAAGCTGCCTCTGCAGATATGGGGCCTGTCAGTTTGTTCAGTTAAAAAGCTACCTCATTAGCTGCATTACATTTCATAAGGATTCACTGGTAAAGCAGTGGTGGAGCAAGACTAGATGGTGAAATATAATGTCGCTTAAATAATTTCAGCGCTATCACATGTAGATTATCATTATGCAAATTAATTTCCAAAGGGTTGTACTTAACAATTGTTAGGAACTGATTAATTTAAATCCTGCTCATATGAACTTCCTGTTTGGATCTTTTTTTTCTTCTTCTTCTTCTCTACCTCTTTCTCCCACTTGCTCTTTTTTTTTTTATAATATTATATACATATACATTTTCTGAAACAAAAAATTGATATTTGGCTTTAATTTCCAGGTCTTGATTCTGTTTTCTTGATAGAGACATTATCATGTCATGATTTAACACGCCATGTGGTTGTTGTTGGCAAAATTAAGATAACAGTCAAGACCATGTTTTTATCTCTGTAATATCCATCTTCCAATTGATTGTTATAAAACACCAACTTCAATATGAACCCAGGTTAATTGACAGAGAATTAACTGAGCTTGTGAATCTTTTATGAGTATATTTATTGAGCCAGAACTATGCAGAATACTTTGTCCTGTATAGTAACTTGAAATACTATGTGACAGTAATTTTTTTAAATTTAATTTGACTAGAGCTGGAATATAGGAACTTTCCTTATTTGCATACTCGGGATTGTCTACAATCTACAGAAGCTGTGACTATTTATTGGATAATACTAGCTATATTACTTTGAGCCCCTTAAGGAAAAGATATGAATTTGTGATCAAATTATTATTTAAATATAATAAAGGCATTTTCATTACCGAGCAACAAAGAAATACATATATATTTTACCCATGTCATAGGACTTGATAAGCTAAAAACTAAAGCTTCTTCACTGGAAGTCAGTGAGCATGTGCTATAAGTATTCTCTCAAGATCTTATGAAAGAACTATTTCGGTATAGAAAAGCCTCACACTCGGTTTTGAGGAACTATAGTTTCTTAAGTGTTTGCCTTTTTTTAAATATTCTAGGGAATATTGAGTTTAATTAGTTTATATAGAAAAATAACTCACTAGATTTGGGGTTTGTTTGTATTTTATCTTATTTAAGTTTTACTTTGTAACTTGCCAAACTGGCAGTTGATACACAGGATAAAATATAACCAGAGGAGTGTTCAATTTAAAAATCCAGGCCAGGGATTTAGCTCAGCGGTTCGGTGGCCTGCCTTGCAAACTCAAAGATGCGAGTTCAATCCCTGGTACCAAAAAAAAAAAAAAAAGAAGAAGAAGAAGAGTTTAAAAATCCAAATATTTTGCTCATAAGAATATTAGCCAGGTGTCATGGTACATGCCTGTGATCTCAGCACTTCAGAGGATGAGCCAAGAGAATCACTTTAAGTTCAAGGCAGTCTATATAATGAATTCAAGGTCAGCCTTAACTCCATAACAAGATCCCATCTCAAAAATATGTGTGTGTGTGTGTGTGTGTGTCCTAAGTGTATTTGAAGTTATACTGCTGTTGTTTTAACATTGAAAATTAAAACTCTGTTGAGATACCAAAATTGTCCACAGATAAAAGCTTACAGAACATAAGTTTGCATATCATCTATTTACTATGGTATCATAAAAATGTAGTTTGTATCTATAAAATAACCAGTTTTGCAGGTATACAGGAATACACCATGTGTCAGAATAAATGCCTTTAGTCCTAGAGTACCTTACATAATAATTTTTAAAAATAATTTAGTAAGCCTAATTCACACTTTTATTTCTTCCTTAAGTACCTTTCTCAGATTATGCCTGGTTTACTTAGCAATAAAGTGTTTTTTCTATTTTCCACTCACTATTAACCTTCCCATTAGTTCTTATTTACTGGTTTCAGAATTGTTTATTCTTGCCATAAATCTGCCATAATTGAGTATAGCATATAAGCAAAGTGATTATGATTATAATCACATACCTTATTACCTCCTGACATAGCAAAACTACTCTGTCAGTGATGTTGACAGTGATATGTTGGATTGGATAAAGCACATAGTGCCTTGATTTATCCCTTTATGGATTCCCAAAAACATTACAAGCAGTGCAGAATATGTATGTGCCGTAAGTAGAATGGCCTCAAGTACGCATTGTTAATAAAATACAATCCATGTATGAAGCACTATCTAGAGAAATTCAGTGATTTTATAATGTCATCAAAGTTTCCATAGTTCATGAGATGGAAATAAGGTATGGGTTTCAAATTTAGTATCCTTAAGGAGTAAAACAAGAATACATCACTTTATCAGTTTTCTGTCTAGGGAAGTATATTAATTGTCTCAAGTCTAATGTGACAAAATTAGACAAAAATCTCCATTTTATATCTCCTGACTTTAATATTGTCTCCAAATTTGAAGCAAGACTAAGAAAAGAGAATGAAAAGATTAAAGGAAAGTATTTTCTTGCTTCCCTCCAGCACCACTCTCCTCCCTTCATTTTGTTTTAAATCCCAATCAGTTCGCAAAAGCCATTGAATGTTGCCACTAGTGATCTGTCTGCTGACAGACCAGTCCAGTGCTTCTAAAAATAACCAGTGTTTATTCATCAAGAAATGTCCTCATTGGCATTGTTTATGATATTCTGGTTAGCACCTCTGCAAATTTTAGATAATCTTTATTTTTTTTAAAAAAATCTTTTAAAAAAATTTTAAATAATAAAAAAATCTTTAATCTTTAAAATAAATTGGATAATTTTCAGTGAGAAGCAGCAGTTTAGGAGGGCACTGGAGAAGGAGATAAAAACTGGAGCAGGGCAGAGCACAAAGCAGAAGAGAGAGAATATATATATATATGATGGAAAATTGCACAGTGCCTGATTTAAATGACAGGCCTGCTAAGAATTTAAAATGACAATTCTTGGGGTAAAAAAGTTTCACAAGGCCTTTTATTATTCTAGAAAATCAGTTCAGACTACAGCGTGTTTTTAAGTATACCTTATCTATGGGCCAAGGATTTAGCTCAGTGGTTCCACCACCTGCCTCGCCAAGCTCAAGGATCTGAGTTCGATCCCTGGTACCAAAAATAATAATAAATAAATAAATATACCTTATCTTGAGCTGGACCAATTAAAGGTTTGTATTTTTAGAACCAAAATAAAAATAAGATATTTAAAAGCATGTTTCATTACGAAGACTTTTTAAAACTATTGCAAATTGATTTAAATTAAATAAAGTGAAGGAAATAACTCCAAAGCCTAAATATAGATATTCATTGTCTCTCCAACAGAGAACATGTCAAATGATGAAGGGAATTCATACTCTCTATTGGAGCATTTAGTTATCATTATTCCAAGCAAGAAATTTAAATATTCCTTTAGGTCTGTAAGATATAATACTTCTGTTCATAGAGGAAACAAAGCAATCATTTTCCCTTTTCCTGCATCTCCCACAGCTCTGACTCTTCAGAAGACCCCAGACTGTAGTTTTTGGGGGGCCAAAAAGGACCTTATGCTATCCAATAAAGTATCTACTAGCTACATGTGGCTGTTTAATTAAGATTACTGAAAATTAAATAAAATGTGAAGTTCAAAGTCAAGACATGGTGGCACATTTTGTGGTCCTAGCTAGTCTGGAAAATAAGGCAGGAGGATCACAGGAGTTTGATACCAGCCTTGGCAACATGGTAAGACTCCATCTCAAAAAATAAATAAATAAGTAAAATTCAGTTCCTAAGGTGACCTAGGCAAATTTCTAGCATTCTGAGGCCTCAATGGATAATGACTACTTTATTGGACAATGTGGGTACAGAGTATACTCATCATCCCAGAAAGTCCCATTTATCAACAATGGAAAGTCTACATAGAGTATTCAGAAAACAGATAGATATCCAAAGAATTCTAAGGTGGTTCTAAGGTTCCTTCATTCTTTACAAATATAAAGGTTACCATAAATGATCATTCAGAGTTTTCGAAAATAAGACACTAAGTCAGGTCCTGCTGACCAAAAATGTATGCTGTTGCCTTCATAGGTGACTGTGTCCCAAATGAGGACAATTTAAAAATAGATGAAGCTGCTGCCTCCTACCTCACAAATGCAAGGTCCTGAGTTTGGTCCCAAGTACCAATAAATAAATAAATAGATGAAGCGATTAATAGATAAGAGAATCTTCTGGTTTTTATTTAATCATTTATTACAGTTATTTACTGAGCACTTAATATATGCTTAACACACTCCACTAGACCCTAAAAAACAAGATAGAAATGACCAGAGAGTGTGTTGTGAAAGAGAATATGAGAAGCATTCCTATTTTAGAGATGATGGTCATGAAATGACTCTGTAGGGACATGAGGTCTGAAAAATAATTATAATATCTAGCTATGACATAAAAAAGCCAAACAAACAATCAGAGGGAACAAGAACGCAAAGCCCTCCACACAAGAAAGCATCATGTACTCTGAACTCCAGGAACTTACAGAAGGCCTGTGTGACTGGGTTGGAGGGAGGGAGGAGGACAGAACCATGGGCTGGTGACTGACACATCCTGTGAGCACCACGACCATTGTAAGAGCTTCTCTTTGGAAAACAAAAAATGGTGCAGTGTGGTGAACACCACACTGGATTTCTACAGAAATAGGTAGTTTGTAACAGGATTATTGAATCTTTGTATCATCAGCTTATTAAAAATGGAATGAAGGGGCTGGGGATTTGGCTCAGTGGTTCT